GATACACTGACGGGGCGTATCGCGGTTCGATCCCGCACGGTGCCGCTAATGGCGTCTCTCTGGTCCTGGTCCCGCCCCTGCCACACCCCGATGTACGCAGGCCTCCGCCACGCCCCAACACGCCCGCCGCGACCACTCGCAACAACAACAAGACCTTGCATAAGCTGCGTTCAGACGGCCCTAGATAAGGCGCCGGGCGCCGGGGGTTGCTCACACCGTAAAGTAATTAAAAACAACAATAAAAGGGACGTAATCAACATCCGTCAATATCGGAATCGCAATCCGCGCTCATCCATGGCGCATACTTGTTGTGGCGCAGAGGAGAGGGGGCAGAGACTCGATCTCAGATTTGAAGCGCTGTTTCCCAGGTCCGCAAAAGAAATCCCAAAAATGCACAAGCCTTTGCACAGATTCGTAAGATCTCGTCCAAGATGTCAATCTGGATGTTATGAGGACTTATGGCGATCTCGTAAGAATTTAAGAGATTTTTAGAGATCAACAGAAGTAAGAGACCTTATAAAAGCTTTAAGAGATCTCACACTTGCAAAATCTCTTAAATCTTATGAGATCTCGCAAAAAGCTATAATGATCGCGCTGCTCCTTCCGCTGCTGCCACAGCACCCGATGCAGTACCCGATGCAGTACCCGATGCAGTACCCGATGCAGCACCTTCTCGCGGCCATGGAGTGCTCCCGGGACGACTTTTGCAGCATGACGCAAGCATAGTGCCGGTTACACCAGTGCGTTTCGTTTCGTCCGTCGTTTTCTTTTTCATCCACCGTCGAATAAATAATAAACGCGCGTTCTCCGCGCACTGAAATTTCGAGTTGCAGTCAGTCTGGAAATAGTCCAACAGAAGGAGTTATCAGTGCGCATGCCACGTTAGTACACACCACGGCCGACGGTGAAGTTTTAATGCAGGGTATGGCAGCGAGAACACGAAATCTCCGGGCGCGCTGTCGTCAGCTTTTGTACGGTGCAGGCAGGACGACTTTGCTGGCCGCCCCGGCTGCCTGCTGACCGATTCAGAGAGTTGTTCTCGTCACTCTGTCTTTCTCACACTCATGGGGAGTTCAGTTGGCCCTGGTAGGCAAAAGGTGTGGAAAAACAATTCTAGAGTCGCCCCTACGGCTTGCCTGCAGTCTCATTCCGAGAGTCGTTTTCATCGCTCTGTCTCTCTCGCACTCATAGGGCGTGCCGTGTAGGTGCGAGAGAGACAGAGCGGCGATGGCGAGCTGGGTGGCGCTATTCCTGGCCGTTGGCCGGTGGCGCTCGGCCCTCGGGTCGAAGTGCGTCGTTGGCGGACCTGCGCCCCGCAGCGTGCCGCAGCGTCCCGCCCTGACCCGCACAGCAGCACAACCAGCGAGCCCACGGCCCCACGGCCCCACGCACCGCGGTGGTACGGCACCGCATCAAAATAAGCCCCGCCGTGTTGGCGTTGGCAGCCCTGCGAACCGTTCGCGCCAATCATCCCGCGTAGCCGCGTGTCAGTCCCTGCTTTTCTGCCTTCCCGACCCCAGCCACCCTTGACCACCCCTGGCCGTGTGCACTCAAACGAGCTTCACACTCCTGGAAGTGTACACACAAATGAGTGCACCTCGGGGTACACGCCGCAGAAAGTGTACTGAGTAGTATACACTGCTCATTCAGCTGAGTGTTTGTTTGGTCCCCTTTTTGCGTGTGCTTTTCTGGCAACGCTGTGCGAGGGGCCGAGGCGTGTGCGTCTGCCTGCGGCTCTTTCGCTTTTCCTCATTTTCCTCGCGGCGCTCCCCTCCGCCGCCAAGTCCCCCGAGACCGAGCCCGAGACGCTACTACGCTCTGCGCTCTGCCCTCTGCTGCCGCGCGCGCCAAACGACCGACCTCGCCGTCGACGTCGTGCCGTCGTGCACCCACTCAACGGTGGTACCGTTTTAGCTATACCGAAATGTGTTGGTCGCGCGCGCATCCAAGTGTCAACACGGAAGCGCCCGCCTTGCCAAAAGGCGCCGCCTCTGTGTGTGTGTTTGGGGAGGGGGGGGGGGGGGGGGGGGGCACGCAGGCGCAGTATGCGTGGTGTCTTTTATATACACGTCGCGTGAGTGTGTGAACGCGTGTGCAGAGATTTTCTTGCACTTGATCGACGAGGGGGTTGGGCAGGCTGGAAGCTGAAGCGGCTAGGCTGAAGGACAGCGGGTAGAGAAGCACGGCGTGCAACCCCGCACCGCTCCCACCCCACCCCCGCCCCCGCCCCGCCTTCGCGGGCACGCCCCCAGCGCTGCTGTGGCGCTGCTGTTGCTACCCACTCGTCGTGAGGCGCGCGCTCTCCAACGCCACCGCAGTGCGAGACGCACTGCACTCCGCCCTGCACGCAGGCAATGCATGCAGGCAATGCAGGCTGCAGCCTTGACATGGCGCCAAAAGGTCGGCGTGCGTAAAGTCTCTCGCGCGCGCCTGTCCTGTCGCGCCTTGCAACTGTTGAGGCGCGTCACGCCAGTCACGCGTAACGAGCAACACGTCGCGCGCAACGAGCGGGAAAGAGTTCCGCACCGCCGCGAAGGTGCGGCCGTGGCAGCGCCGTGGCAACCTGCACACCCATTCCGAACAAATGTTGGTGCAGCGATTCCGTAGCTCGGTTTGTGGCTCTGTCTCTCTCGCACCCTCGGGGAGTCTCGCGAGTGCGAGAGAGACAGAGTGGTGACACGGCGCTACTGAATCGCTGGCGGGCTCAGCGTGAACCGGCGAGCACCAGCTTTTGGGGCTTAGCCCCGGCGACACGTGCGCTGCTATGAGGTCACTGTTTTATCTACACTCGTCGAGACGTCTGCAGAGAGTAAGGACGTCTGGGAGCACCGAGTGCGCGAGACCTGCCCTGCCCGGCCCTGCTGGCCCTGCCGCTCGCATCGCCATTTCCTTGCCTGCTTTGCCTTTTCCTGCCTCAGGACAACGCTCACGGCAGCACGCCGGTTCCGAGCACTGCCCCCGTCGCTGTCTCTCTCGGACATCACGCGGCGTGCCGTGAGAGAGCGAGAGAGACACCGACAGGTCAGAGACTCTTCCGTGTCCTTGGACCCGGCGGGCTGCGCCAGGGCTACGCGGCTACGCCATCCACGATGCCGCCACGCTCGCGCCGCCGCGTTCTGGCGACTCACGCACTCGCGCGGCTATTCTCGGCGCGCGCCAAAGCGACGCCCTTTCCCGCCGAAACGAAATGAGACGGAGCAGGTTAGGTTAGGTTGGGTTAGTCCGAACGAGATCAACAACGCCGCGTCCCGTTTCCCCCGCGGCCGGGGGCAAAGTCCGTCGGGCACCTCCGCACTCCGCACTCCGCACCACGCCGGCTGGCCAGAGTACAAGTGCGGCCCCCTTGAGCGCTATCGACGCGCACCTGCAACCTGCTGCCCCGCGTCCCGCGCCATGGCGGCCACTGGCGGCCACGTGGGGCGTCTCGAGACCCTGATTCTAGATTCCGGGGCCACGCCTTGCTACGTGACAGTCTCAAGTGGGGTAGCCGCGAGCGGGGGGCTCTACATGTATACAGCATCGGCAGTCTGTCTCTTCTAAAAGGCAAAACCCCTCTCAAATTCAAAGTATATACGTGGGGGTAAAGGTGGTGGCCCTATTGATTCTTCAGCAGCGCCCCACGAACACCACCCGTGCTGGGACCCATATTGATGTTTGTGGCCTCCATCAGCACAGCAGGCGCGGATAGGGGACTTTGGGGTTGGGTAATGTGCGTAAGCGCTTTTTTGCCCACTTCCAGGGGGTCCACTTGTCGAAGGAGTGGGTAACTATCTTCCTCACGCCCCTCCCGTCTGGCTCTGGCTATCCGCGTCTGACCAGCAGCAACTGCAGTGACGTCTGTCAGAACGCCGTCGCGCGTCACCGCGGTCAAGGTATAATTTTTTGTCGGTGCAGTGTAGAATGGTGAGGTGTTTTGGTTTTCAGGAGGACATCTCCAATTGATAGAGGCACATGTTAATGATGTAAAAACATATTTTAATTATATACTTAACGATTCCGTCTTGAGCATTGTGAACATTATAACACATTTCAATATACATATTGTCAGTCAAATATACACATATTAATATATACAAATGTCTGTAAAATAAATACTCTTCTTATATGTTACACACATCACAATTAGGGTTCATTAAACTGAGAGAAATGTTAGTCATAATTGATGCAGGTGATAAGTCAGGAAAACTACTTTGAGGAACTAGAGACAAGAAGGTCTTCACTTGCCATGCAGACTGCTATGAAGGAATCAAAATGCACATTATTGGAAGTTAAAGCAAAATGAACACACACTGTTGCCTGGCTGGAATGTAGTTAGGAAAGAAAATGGCTAATTTCTAAATTCTTTTAATTTTTATGTACTTTTTTCTTTTGTTATAAAAAGAATGTTATTATTTATCAGTCGGTAGAGGTAGCTATCAAAGCCAGTCCCAAAGATAAAGATTTTGCAGTAACATGCAGGCTTTACAGTGAATATACATTGTCCTCTTAGTTCTTCAAAATTGACAGGAGAGAAGAAGATATTAAGTAAAACACAGAAATCGAGGTGCTGTTCTCAAGAAGTACAATCACAACACTTTGTACCATTTTACACAATGTGTATCTTAACTCTAGAGAAATTTGTCATATTAATGATGCATTCATTGTAAAGAAATGCAAAGATATTTGAACTAAACTTTCTATTGTAGTAAAAGGGTACAGAGATGACTCTTTGGTTAAACCTACTCAAAGAGAAGCCAACTTTAGTGAAATCATTACCTACAACACAGAAATCATCACACTAAAATTGATCACAAGTAGTCTCAACTATAGTAGGTAGTTCTGTTAGTACTGTATGTATGGTACACAGTTATGAAAAGATAACGGCACATTCTAAAACTACTACTGAATGTTGGCAAGAAAGGAACAGCATGAGAAACGCTCACGAAGGAACCAAGTCGCGAGGCAGGGGGAATTACCAAGACTCCCCCTTCTACTTCTCAACTTCGGGAGCTTCAAGCATTGTATTGGCACATCTTTCCTCAGGGCGTCGCTCGTTTCATACTAGAACCTCGCTATAACGACTAGATCAATATAATATTATTTATAGTTTTACAATGGGTGACACTTTAACACACATAGCTAACGGCAGCATATACACATTTCTCTTATCATAATTACGCATACAATAATTGAAAAAAGACTTTGTAACACACTGATAGCGGCAAAATAGAATCAGACCAGCTGATATAAGTAATAAAAAAAAAGCACCGGATTCTTTTCGGAGCAGTTGGTCCACAGGCGCGGGGCCGGGCCGAACCAGGGCCTAGCACTGCGCGATGGGCATGACGGGGATGACGTGGTGCGTGATGTGCAGGGGCGCGGGGGGCGCGGGGGCGGGCGCCAGCGGGGCCGGGGTGGTGCGGGCGGGGTGCTGCGCGGCCAGGTTGGCGGACGGGTCGCGCTGGTGGCGCTTCACGTGCTTGGCCAGGTGGTCGGAGCGCATGAAGCGGCGCTGGCACACGCCGCACCCGAACTTCTTCTCGCCCGTGTGCGTGCGCTTGTGGCGGGACAGCTCGTCGGACCGGCTGAACCGCCGCCCGCAGCGGTCCCACTGGCACTCGAACGGTTTCTCACCTGCGGAAACAAAACCGACGAACCGTGAGTCAAGGCCGCGAAGCCGCGAAGCAAAGCCAAACCCGGCTAGAGAAAGGAGGACAGGTCCCCCGCCGGGTTCGCCGGCCCACTGACCTGTGTGGGTGCGCATGTGCGCCTTGAGGTGGCTGGACTTGAAGTAGTTCTTGCCGCAGTGCTGGAAGTGGCACTCGTACACGCGGCGGCGGCTGCCCGCGTCCTTCTCGGCCTTGGCGGCCTTCGCGGACTTCGAGGACGGCCTGCTGGCGATCACCATCAGCGGCACGGGGATGAGGCTGCTGGTCAGGATGACGGCGGTCTGCGAGAGAGAACGACAAGCAACGGGTTAGCGCACCGGTTGGCGGGGCATAGCTGCGAGCGAGATGCGCTAGACCAGGCGGTAGACGGCGGGGTTGTTTACCTGGGCTGGCGGCTTGGGGGCGATGGCCACGGCGCCGCGCGGGGCCGCGGGCACGGCGGGGGTAATACTCGTAATACTGGTGAGCGGTGCGATCGGCAGGAGATTCTTCTTGGGGCGGGCAGTAGCAGAGCCTTGGGCGGGGGGCGCGACAGGGGTGACGGGAGCCAGGGGGAGGGGGAGGGGGAGGGGGGCTTCGGGTACTGGTTTGCCCTCTCGGTTGGTGTCCTTGCTGTTGACGAATATCTCCTCCTTGCGGGTGCTCATCTTGTACTTGAGGCTCTTGAGCAGATTCTGTTGCTCCCACGGCTCGGCGGACGAGGCCGAGGCGGCCGACCCCAGCCGGTGGCGGAAAGGCACGGCGTCCCCGGCGTCACTGGACGCGTCCACGGAGTCCATGACGGAGTCCTCGCCGGATGACAGGTTGGACGCGTCGTCGCAGCTCGAGTCGCACGAGGACAGCGAGGCGAAGCGGCAGCGGGGCGCGCGGGGCGCCGAGAAGGGCTGCGGGAAGCAGGTGCCGTCCTTGTTGGCCCTCATGATGACCGACACGCCGCGGTGCTCCGTCTTGAGCTGCAAAAGGTCCGACAGTCAGTCTGGGTTGGTCTACGTGACAAGCGACAGGGGGTAGCACCGGGTAGAGTTGACTCACCATCTTGACGGGGCAGTCCTCGCGGTCCTCGCCCTCCGAGTCCGTGGCCGGCGGGGTGGCGGGGGCCACGTCCGGGGAGAGGAAGCGCTTGCGGCACGGCAGCTGCGAAAGCTGCGAGGCCACGGCGCCGTCCGAGAAGGACAGCAGCGCGCTGGCCGCCTTCAAGTCCATGGCGCCGTAGAAACGCTGCGAGACCTGCAACATGGGGGCGGCTGCGTCAGGCAGATGCTCGGGGGCGGTCGATGTCGATGAAAGGTGAAAGGGCGCAAGGCAGGGCTCTGCTCGGACTGACGTAGACACTCGACGCGTGACGTCGCCGCGTCGCCGCGCTGCCCAGGTGCCCCCCTTCCCAGCCCCGGCCGCGCCATGGACGCCCTCGTCCTCCTTGGATGACGTCAAGCGGGCGTTCACGTGTGCAGCATGCGGGGTGCACGCGGCGGCCTTTAGGCGGCCGAGCCCCGGGCCCCGCCGCTAGGACCAATGCCTACACGTCTACGCGGGCCGCGGCCCCGTCCCCGGGGGCAGGCCGGCCAGCCGACCAGCCGACCGCAATTCGCGATTGTCACTTCATCGAACAATGAGCTGGGCTGGGCTGATCTAGCCCGGCCGCTCGACCCGGACGCGATGCGAGTGCGAGCCGAGCCGTGCGAGCGAATGCAGGCCAAAGGTCGGCGCGTGGCGGAGGCCAACGAGGCCGCGCCGCGAGGGGCCCACCTGCAGCGCGGCGACACCGTGCTGTACCACGACCACGCCTATTATTAATAGCGAAGAGCGTCGACCCGGCCAGCCTGGCCGCCTAGGCGTCGCGTCCGGCAGGCCCGACGGCCTGACGGGGCGGCCCGGTCCCAGCGGGCTGCCTGCAGCCGACGCCCTCCGTCATCCTTGGCGCGCGCCTCTAGCCGTCGCGGGGGCCAACAAGTAGCCGTGCGACCTCACCTCGCTCTCGCAGTGGCGGACGGTGGTGTGGTGTTGGTGGTGGCGGCCTCCCTCCCCTCGCCGCCGTCCGCCCCACCCCGTCCCGTCCTGCCCCGTGCCCCTACCCGCGACGCCGAGCCCGCCGCCGCGCGCGCCGCGCCAGCGTCCCTGCCCTTCCCTTGGTCCTGTTCACGTGCACCACAGCTGATGACGGCGTGCTGCCGGCGTGCCCACCCCTTCCACTTCCCCGCCGTCACCGCGGCCTACCGCGGCCCAGGCCAGAGCCCGACGGCCCGACGCCGGCAAGTGCACACACAGGAAAGATACGGTGCACGTACGCGTGTACACTTACGCCCCGGCCTTGGTGGAGGCGTTGACGGCGTGGGCGCGCCCCCTGCAACGCCTTGCACGCGACCAGCGGCCAGCAGACTCATTCCGAAAGTAGTTTCGTCTCTCTCGCACCTACACGAGACGCCGCATGTGTGCGAGAGAGACAGAACGACAGAAACCGACGTATGTATCGGAATCATTCTGCAGGGGGCCGAACCGTCAATCATTTTGTTCTTACGGGACACCCGTCCCCCCATCCGCGCACGCACACACCCACGCTCGGCGCAAGTACAGTGAATACCCGAAGGACCCGAAGCGGCGAAGCCCATTCACAAGGCGGCAACGGCGCGGTCCGTGGTGCCACAGTGTGGTGCCAGGACGGAACGGGCGGCACGTCATGCGCGTGCTGAGCTGCTGGTGTGTGCACTTTTTTCGCGCGCTCGCCAAGGTCGAAGCACTCGGCGGCGGCTTTTAAATTTCCCTCTCCGCGGTTCATTCATCTGGCGGGCTCGGGCAGTGCGACCGCAAGACGCACCCCCGGACTTCCCTCCTGGCGGCTGGTGGACGCGCTGCCAGCGCTGCGGGCCGGGGTAGGCCGGGGGCCGCGGCGGCGTGTTCACGTGAACAGCCCGTGGTCTGGCTGAGGCTGACCCTATTGCGTGCGCGGAGCGGCGGGGACGGGGAGCGGGGCCGCGGAGCACCGAGGAGCACCGCGGAGCGGCAAGGCCTTCGCCTCCCTTGCCTCCTTTGCCTGCCGCCGCCTGCCTTTGCCTTCGGCGAGCCGCGGCCAGCTCCGCGAGATATCGCCTGTTTGTCGCGAGAGCAACGCGTCGCCGAGGGGTTGGGTGGGGTTGTCGCGGTCCCCGCGGTCCGTGATGATAGCCTCCCGCTTATCAACTTTCACTTACGGTGGTGCCGGAGGCTGGCGGAGGCGTCGAAGGGGGTGACAGGGGCTGCTGCTCCATCGCCGAACACCGGGCAGATCGCAGACAGTAATCCCAAAAGTGGCGTTGCACTGCGGTGCACTGCGGTGCACAGGGGGTTGGCGGTGAACCGCTCGCTCCAGACACTGGTCTTGGACGCACACACACGGGCGCTCACAAACACACGCACAGGACGTCGGAGGGGCGCGAGGACGCGGCACTGCACGGGTCCGCGACAGACGCGACACTCTGGGTGCGGATCTGAGGAAGAGCGTCAACTGACTGAGGAGGGACCGGCGGACAGCCGCGGCACGGACACGGAGTTCCTCCTCCTCAGTCCTCACACACGTACTCGAGGGGGCCGGTGCGGAGGGAATGAAGGAAGGCACGGTCCGGGCGGGGCAGGCGGGGCAGCCCGGCTGGGGCAGGGGGACGGGGCGAGGGGCGAGGCGGCGGGGGGAGCGCGCCGTTTTGTTGTGACGCGGGCTGCGGGCCCCTTCGGCAGCGGCGCGGTGGTGGCGGCGGAGAGGCAGCCAATGGCGGCGAGGGGCTCGGCCGGCGCGGGCCAATGGCGGCGCGGCGGCCGGCCTGCTCTGCACGTGATCACCGAGTGCACGCCGCCGCTGGGGCCGGGCCGGCACGCTGCAGGGGCGCCGGCGACGGCGTGGAGTACACGTGATCAGCGTGTGCGCGGCGTGGCGCGGCGTGGCCGAGTAGGCCGACCCCCACCCACCGCCGCGTCGTATCGCCGCGTCTCTCTCACTCTCGCGCGCTCGCCGCGCCTCTTTCTCTCACTTTCTCTCTTCCAATGGGAAAAGTACTGTTTAAAAACCCCCAAAGTCCTCCTCCGCCGCCGCTCACCTACCGACCGCCCCTTGCGCGGACTTCTGCCAGGCCAGACACTGGCCGGTGTGACGTCGCGTCGCCGGAGATTGGTTTTATTGTCCAAAACGCGGGGCGTGCGGCGCGGGGCACTGCCTCGCGGGCCTGGCGGCCCCGGCCCGGCACGCCCATTGACGGCGCCCTGACGTCGGCCAGGCCCGCCGCGCCGACGGCGTCCTCGGCGTCGTGACGCTGGGGCAGCTGGGGCCGGGTGATAAGGAAGCCACCGAAAATTGCTGTTTTCGAGTCCGTGATTGGCGTCCTGGCTCGCGACGTGGCAATGCGCGTGCACGCTCCCGCCGAACGGCCGAACCGCGGGTTCACCGCGCAGTGCGACGCAGGACATTCCTGCCGCCGCCCGGGTCGGCGGGTCGCACTTGGACGGGGACCTTGTTGGAGACGGTCGGGTCGTCGCGCCTCCGCGCGCCTCGTGGCAGTTCTGACCGCGGCGTGTGCCACGCGCCACACGCACGAGCCGATAATGCGTTCGTGTGAGTGAGTGCGCGCGTGTGTGTGGAAAGAATACGCGAAGGTCAGGATGAGGCACCGCCACCGCGGCGGGGCGAACAAGGCCGTCGTCGTCTCGGAGTCTCAGGCGCACGTTGCGCAGCGCCAGGCGGCCAGGCGGGAAGAGGGAATCGGACAACCGCGCTCCCTCTCTCTGGCACCCTTACGGAAAGCCCCAAGAGTGCGACAGAGACGGAGTGGCAAAACGACCGAAGGGTGCATGGCGCGGCGCAGTGTGTTCTTCGCTCTTCTCTTCTCTTTCGGGTCGCGGGTTCACGTCCCGGCCGCGGCGCGGTGTTCCTACAACTCGAAAAACAAATAAACGTGACGCGGGCGGAGTGTTGGCGCGACGTGGCGAACGGGTAGTGTTGTGCGAGGGTCGCTGATCGCTCATCTCGTCTCTCCTTTCCTTTCCTTTCCCCCGCTGCGTCCCTCTCTCTCACTCTCTTTCGTTCGTCGTCGGCCTCCCGACTTCCCCCACCACGCCACAAGCCGGGCCCGCTCTGCACGAGCCTCTACTGTACGGCTCCGAGGAGGCCCTCCTCCCATCGGATTCCGTGGTGTAGCGGTTATCACATCTGCCTAACACGCAGAAGGTCCCCAGTTCGATCCTGGGCGGAATCATTTTGCTGCGCTCTTTTCGCGCGACTAGACGATGCTTCGACATCTCATCGGCCGGTTCTGAAAGTCTTTGGCAAAACCAAAGTGCATTTGGGTGGGTTTTTATGCATTTCTGTTCATTTTCTTGGTCACTGTTCAGAGTTTCCCCGAAATCCCCGACTTTTTCATTCAATCTTGTCGCTAGTTGGAAATCACACCTACTGTCCACGCTCACTATCCAGTGACGTCGAGGATGTATTGCACGGGGTACCGACAAGGCAGCGCTGTCGAATGCGCCGTGAGGGTAGGCAACCCATTCGACGCCGCGCTACTCCACGCGCGCGCGCCAAAGGGACACGGGGTATCGCCGTTCCCGGAGCTACTCCACCTCTCAATCCGAGGAGTATGGAAGGGAGTACGCCCCGCTGCAGAATGCATTTTGTATGTTTTGGGAACGGGCAAGTTGAGGAGTATAGACAGTTTATTATTCACCAAACGTGAACCTGAATTACTATTTCATGGACTTTTTTTTGTAGATTGGGTTCTGTATGCAACACCGGGCAGTCTAACAGGTATAAAGTATCCGAGCGCAGACGCACAACGGCCTGGCGTTACTCGCACGGACGCAGCAGAATCCATAATTTTGCACAACTTTGATAACTCGCAAAAAAATCCGGCATGAAAATGCCAGCCACTTTCTTGCTTTTTCAACTGGATGATCTGAGGTCACCTTCCGCAATATCTAGCCTCTTTACTGTCGTGAAACTTGTTCGAATCCTAGTTTTCTGATTGATCCCTGATCGGAAAAGGCTTTCCAGCGGCAGTTGGTTGGCGGACGGGCTGACGAGCCGACGGACCCAGACGGGCCTTGACGCCCCGAGACACGAGGAAGGACGACAGGTCGATGCTGTTCGGCATGGCCATCGCCAAATGACGAGCAGGGCAGGCCCGGCCGAGCCCGGCCGAAAACGATCGAGTATCGCACTATTAGCGAATAACCGGGTAACGATCAGCAGAGGGCCGAGAGGCGCTAAAGCACCAGCCAGCCCCTCACCCCCGAGGGGAAAAGGCGGGAAGGGAATGTTGGCGGGGCGCGGTTGGCACCAGCTGGGCGGCGGCGGGGCGGCGGCGAGGGGGGCCCGGCAGCCCCGAGCGAGGCTAGGACAAGCGGCTGCGTCGTCCGGCGGAGGCGACCCGAGCCGCAGCCCTCTCTTTCTCTCTCACAAGCAACGCGCAGCGGCGAGCGAGGCAGCGCGCGCTTCGAAGGCAACCTGAAGGGGGCGCCGAACGCCGCTCGGGTCGCGGGCCGTCCCGGCCGGGCTTCGGGCCCGCTCGGCAGGCGCGCGGCGGTGCTTCGGCTTCGTTCGTGTTCGTTTTCGTTTCGCGGCGCCTCGCCTCGCCTTAGTGCGATACGTGGTTCCGAGAGGGGAGGTTGCGCTGCGCGCCGCGTCGCGTTGGCCCGAGCTCCGCTGCGCCGCCTTTCGCTGCGGGCTTCGCGTCGCTTCGCATCGTCTGTGGCTGCGTAACAAAAGCCGAGAGCGACATGTCGGAGCGCGACAAGGACAAGAGCAAGCGAGGGGGCGAGCGCCGACAGTTGGTGAGTGCGTGGCCGAAAGAACGGGCCGGTGAGCGTGATTCTGGCCCTTCTGCGGGCCTCGGAAAAGCCGAGCAGAAGGTTTCTGGGTTGGGTAGGTCGCCATGGCCGTTGCTCGGCGCGGCGGCACGGCCCGCACGGCGCAGCGCACGGCGAAGGCACGGCGCGGCGGATGTGGGCGATGCGACTCGACGCTCGGCTCGAAGCGAAGCGCGAAGCTCTACTCGTCTCGTTCTCCTCGTCGCAAGGCGTAGCACGGCGCAGCACGGCGAGGCGGCCGCTCGGCCAGTGTGCTGCCGCGGAAGGCCGTGATGCTGGTCTGCTTTGTGCGGAGGCCGGGGACGGCCTGGTGCAGCACGGCGTAGTGGACGCGGCGGGGCGCAGCGGGCGGCCCCAAGCTCGACGCCCGGGGCCGCGGGGCTGCGGCAGGCCTCGGCTTGCCTCGACCGGATTAGGCCCGCTCCAAATTGATTGCTAAGAGCAAAATCCAATACGCTGAGCCGAGGCCGGCTGCGCACCCAGTCAGCAGATCCAACTGTACCCACGCAGTCGCCGCCGTGGTACCCACTGGCACCTGCACTGCACTACCTGCTGTCCGGCCGTCCGGGTAGCGGTCTCTCCTGGAGCAGCGAGAGGGGGGAGGGAGGGAAAGGGGGGGGGGGCGCTTCCTAGGTCGGTCTTACACCTCGTTGCCGGACCGGAGACCGGGGGAAAACCAAACCTGACCGTGGTTCCTTCATTTCGATGAATATTGGCGGATGCTTTACGCTACGTGTGGAATATGTTTCCAACGAGGTTCTGGTTCATTTAATGCCCAGTCGAAGGCTGCAATGCCCCAGAACGCGCCAATGCGCTTTTAATGTGCATTAAAATGCACTTTTAGGTAATGAATGCGCAAGTACTAATGTTCAAAAAATACGCCATTCTATTCTCCTTAAATATGTTAACTTTTTATGTTCATTTTATTGCGCATTGTGCATTCGGCGCTGCTAGTGCACTTGTCGTTCCACGTCCGGCAACGCTTGATGATACCCTGACCAGAAGAGTTGGAGGCATTTAAAACGACTCAACACTCTTTTTGAAGTCCAAGAATTCATTTTGCAGAACTTTGTCACAATTTTGAAAGAAATATTTTGTCGACTGCCTGATATAGCCGCACCGCGCGCGCCCCAGCTGGGGCGTTGTCCCATTAATTAGAATTGGGTGCCCCCCAAGTTTGGCATTGCCTTTGGATGGGTAGAATGCCTGATGTTTTGTGTCGTGCCCGCGGCCTGGCGGGGCCTGGTCTGCCCAAGCAGTCTTCCCCGACGCCCCGTCTTTGCTTGTGTTCACGGCCTCAAAGGAAGCCCTTTGTGTGAAGAGGCGCGGGGCGGCTCTGGTGAGAACCTCGCGGCTTGGCTGCGTCCGCGAGGGCGTCCGCGACGGCGTCCGCGACGGCCTCCGCGAGGGCGTCCGGCTCGAATAATTGGGAGTAATTCGAAGAAACAGATTTGACGGTGGAGTGGCTCCGGCAACCCAAGCGGGAAGGCAATGCCAGGCAAAGCCTCAGAGCGGAGGTGTCTCGCTTTTTATCTGGCCGAGAGATTGTATTGCTGTTTGCCTAGTCCGTCCCGTCGCCCCGTCGGTTCGGATGTGTGGGGTGGGTGGCTGGGTGGGTGGAGGCCTGTCCCTGGCCAGGCTTGGCTGCGGCGCCGGGTATCCATTTCCAGGATACCCGACGAAACGACGCGCGAGGGAAGTGCGGCAGGATAAATCTCCACTGCAAGATGGCAGGCTGAGCGCGCCTGCGGGGTAGGCTTGCTGAGCGCGCGGGTGTGCTGCAGCATTGCCTACCTCGCAGGCTGCTGCTCCAAGCCGTGCTTCGTCACGCTGTCTCTCTCGCACACCTACAGAACGCCGCATGGTTGCGAGAGAGACAGCACCTGGAGCGGTGCTCGGAATGATCCTGCCGGTGTCGGGCCGCGTCTCGTCGCGTCGCGTCCTGGTGCACGCTGCGCGATGGCCTGGCTTGGCTTGCTGCGCCTTGCTGCGTTTTTAGTTCCGAGCCATCGTGTCGCGTCCTCGGCACGGCGTGGCGGGGGCAGACCTGTTGGGCGGGTCGCCCTGCTGGCCCGAGCCCTGCCTGCCTTGCTGCCGGCCGTGCCGGGCTTGCCGGGCTCGTGTGCTACCTGTCTTGGCTGGGGCGTACCGGGCGTACCCGGCGCACCCCGAGGCCGGGGACCGGCTTCATGTGCAGTGGGATCTAGCGAGCGACCCGGCCCTCCCAAGCCGCCCCCTGGCGTGGCGTGCCGCGTGGCGTGCATCCATCCCCCAGCGTGCGCCCCGCCCCGCCCCGCGTCCCTCGGGACCCCCCCGGCCGAGCCCAGGCCGTGTTTCTCGTCCGGCGACGCGGAGGCCGCGGCCGCGACGCCGTGAGCTCGCCGCCATGAACCGCGCACCGCGCTCGCTAGAGACCAACTGGCTGGCGTGGCGCGGCGGCGAGGCGACGCGGTGGGGTGGTGCCGGCGCGGAGCTCGCGGGGCAAACGGGGACCGAACCGCTCGGCGCCTGGCGGCCTGGCTGGCAGCTCGTCGGACCCCATGCCTCGCTTCTCGCCTCTCGCTTCGCCTTGCAGCACGGCTGCCATGGCTCTGCGCGCGGCCGCGCTCTGCGGCTCAGCCCCACCTCGCCGCGTCGCACCGCGTCGTCGTGGCTCGGCTCGCTCGATGCCAGAGCCCTCGGCAGCACGGCGGCAACGCGGCACAGCGCGGCACGCGGCGGTCGTGGCGAGGCTGGCGTCGTGGCGGTGCTGCCTCGCGAATGGCTGGGCTGGCCTGGGACGGGGTTTCCGCCGCCAGGCCGCGGCGTCGTAGTTGCCGGCGAGACTGGCAGCCGGGCACTGGCGTGGCTGTGTGGACTGCCTCGATTCGGATCGGCCGCCCCGCCCCACCCCGCCCCACCCCGGCACTGGCGGGGCGTCGCGGGCGCGGCGGTGGAACGGAGTGCGGCCCGCGTCCGGGTCGGGGCGTCCGGGACACTCTGGCCGGCGCGACTGCCGCGACCCGGGCGGGATGCGCACGCCTAATCGGCCGCCCCGAGGCCCGGCCCGGCTGCCAGCAGACTGATTCCGAGACTCGTCTCTGTCTCTCTCGCACCCATTCACGACGCCTCTGGAGCGAGAAAGAGACAAAACTACGAAAACGTCAAGCAGAATCGGCCTGCAGTCCGGCCGACCGGGCGAAAGTGATAAACTGGCTGGCCGAAGAACCACGGGGACGTTGGTAGTGTAGTGTGTGGAGTGGCGGAGTGCACAGTGCACCCGTGAGAACTGAGCCGCGCACTCGCAGTGGCTAGCCATAGCTAGCAGTGCCTTAGCAGTGGCGTGTCCAAGTGGGGCTTCCCTCCAGTCCACTGTGCCTGTGCGGCGCTGTGCGGCTCCCTGGTCGCGTGAAAGCGCGCGCACCATTTTTCCGGCGGCAAAAAGTCGCTGGCTGGCGTTAATGCCCCCCTCTTCGGGTTCCTCTCGGGGTTGACTGGGGCCCCTTCTTATCTGCGCGGCGCGGTACCGCCTCCTGTAACGGCACCGCCGTGCCGCGGCGGTTCCCCTGGCGGTGCCCTGGCGGCATGGCGCTGGCGGGGCGGGGCGGGGCGGGGTCACGACGAAAGCACTTGATACGCGCGTCGTCTGGATGCAGCCCGACGGCCGGCCGGCCCAGGAGAGCGACCCAGGAGGGCAAGGACGGCCTGCTGCCAAACTGCATGTCGCCAGAGCGAGCCGTGGCCATGCCGGCCATGCCCGTCGACTTACAGCATCGCCGAACGTTACCTCAGCGTGCGATCCTGTCCCGAACCCGCGCGGCAGGCAAGGCGGTCCCTCCCCTCCTGTCCCCTCTCCCCTTTCGCCATGGCCCGGGGCAGCGCGACCGCGACGCACTTTCTCCGGCCAGAGCCTGGGTCAGGTGCAGCACGCTGCATGCAGGTGGTGCAGCTGGGGGGTTTGGGCAAAGCGTCAGCCTTCCCGTGTGACATTGCGTCCGCGGCGCAGGGCCTCTCGGCGCAGGGGTCGTTGGTGGGCTGGGCGTCATTTGGAGGGGAGCGCTGGGCAACGCCGTCTAAGGATGGGGAAAGCGGCAAGGCGCGAGGTGGTCGGGCCGTGGGGCCGTGGGGCCCGGGCGCCGCCTGGCCAGGCCTGGCCGACGCGACTCGCGACGTGACGCCAGCTACGCCAGCTGTGTCGGCCTGCCTGTGTGTTGTGCGTCGCACGACGGCGGGGCCGCTCGAGTCCCGAGTTCCGCGGGGCAGCCAGGGGCAGCGCGGGGGCCTCCCATGAGGTCCGCGCGGCGCTGTGGCTGTGCCCGCACTGGCTGCTGGTCCACCCCGTCCCCGGCCGCGGCCAGGGCCTCGCCGCGCGCCTGGCTTGCCGGGCTAGACGCGGAGCGCGGAGCCGCGCGCATGGTCCGCCGTGCCCCGCCCCAGCAGGAATGTTCGCCGCGGCGCTGGCGCTGCGAGCCGAGCCCGCCGAGCCACGGCTAGCCACACGGCTAGCCAGCCACGGCCCCTCGGCTCGGCAGTGCGGCAGCCAGCCACGCAATGCCGTCCGTCCCGTCCCGTCTCGACCGCCTTCTGCCCGGGCCTGGGGCTGGGGCCTGGGCTTGGCTGCTGCTGTGGCTGGTGCGGCCGCGCGGCCCCGGCCGGCTGTGCGCCTGCGTCGTCTCGTCGCGGCATCGCGGCCGTGCCCCTGCACTGCCCCTCCTCCTTTCCCCCGCCTGTGCTCCCCTCTCTTCCGGCCGAGGTGGCGTCCGCCCGCGCCGCTCGCCTCTCTCTTCTCTCTCTGTCTGTAGCTCTCGGTGCGCGTGCCGGGTAAGACGAGGACCGCGGGCTGGGCTGCTTCGCGTTCGCACGCAACACGTGATCGCACCGGCGCGGTGGCGGTGGCCTCCCCTGGGAGGGAGGTCCGCTCTCCGCTCCCCCCGCCACTGCTGCCCTTCCCCCTTCCCCTGCTTGCCGGCAGTGAAATTCCCTCCGTCTCCTGGCGTTCGAAATTCGCCGCATTTGGCGCTAAGTCGAGTGCGCGCGGACCGGACCGCTGCAGTTTCGGCGAGGTGCCAAATGAAGCAGCACTCTTGCCCTCGTGATGGCGCCCAATGTTAGCGAAGCCAGTTTTAGATTGTAGTCACTTTTAACGGCACACTGGGATTGGGCTTAACTCTGGCTTTTCCCATTTTTCCAGCGCGACCGCAAGCCGAAGCTCTACACCGATGACTGGGCCATCGCAGACGAGGAGATCGAAGGGGGAAGGCTGTTCCAGCTGGAGGACAAATTGGAGTCGGAGCGATTTGAACAGAATTTTGTCAAGGAGTTGAACGGAAAAGGTTTGAAATTTTTGAATTTATTTTTTATTTTATGTTGTTGTTTTGTTCATCGCATGACTTCTCTAACCAATTCCCTGGTTTCCAGATTTTAATGTTCAGTACCTGCAGCGCCATGGATTCAGCACCCCTTTGATTTTCAAAGAGAAGTCTGGTCTGGGTATAGTTGTGCCCAGCAAAAATTTCTCTATCAATGACGTGCGAACATGTGTTGGTATGTTCCTGTGTGTGCGGCCCTTAATCAAATTTTTGGTGATAAGATGTATTTTGGTTTGACTGATGTAATTTTTTTTCTAGGTTCACGTCGTATGCTGGATGTTATGGATGTCAACACACAGAAAAACTGTGAAATGTCAATGAAGGAATGGCAGAGATACTACGAAGACCCTGATAAAGATAAGCTGTTAAATGTCATCTCCCTTGAGTTCAGCCACACAAAGCTGGAGAACTATGTCAGGGCTCCAACCATAGTGCGTCAGATTGACTGGGTCGATGCAGTGTGGCCCAAGCATTTGAAGGAGCAGCAGCATGAATCAACCAATGCGATTGACGAGATGATGTACCCCAAGGTGCAGAAGTACTGCCTCATGTCAGTCAAGGGCTGCTACACTGATTTTCATGTTGACTTTGGAGGGACGTCAGTGTGGTATCACATTGTGAAAGGCTCCAAGGTAAATTGTGCTTTTGTTTTGGCCTATACCTTTCCACCATCAAATTTCCATCTCAAGTTCCTAATTTTGGGATTTTGTATTGTTTTTCCAGGTGTTTTGGCTCATTCCACCTACAGAGAGAAACTTGAATCTGTACGAGCAATGGGTGCTGTCTGGCAAACAGGGGGATGTCTTTTTCGGAGACATGGTTGACAAGTGTGGCAGAGTAAGATTAAATGAAGGAAACACTTTCTTCATCCCCTCTGGCTGGATTCATGCTGTTTACACTCCATTGGACTCGTTGGTCTTTGGAGGAAATTTCTTGCATGCCTACAGCATTGAGAAGCAGTTACGAATTGCCCAAGTAGAGGATACAACACATGTAAGATGATGTGGTGGTTGTCTCACAATATTGGTGTTAATATGTCTATTTTAATGTGCAGTTAATCATGTTGTTTTGTTTGTTTTTTTAAAATCACTTTAGGTGCCTCAAAAATTCAGGTATCCGTTTTTCACTGAGATGTTGTGGTACGTCCTGGAGAGATATGTGCATTGTGTGCTTGGAAGATCACATTTGGACCCTGATGTACTTGATGGGTATCAAAGCCAAATGTCAGCACCAGAAGATCACATTCATCTCACTCCGCAGGTAACCTACATGTCCCCCTCCCTTCCATTTTATCACCATATTATGTTGGCATATTGTACTGAATACTTAATCCTATTCCCAGGAACTCCATGGTCTGAAAGCAATTGTGATGTATCTGCACTCTTTGCCGACCAACAAAAAGAATGTTCCTGAGCTTGTCCAAGACCCCATTGCTCTCATAAGAGATGTGCGGAACCTGGTTGAGAAACACCGGCATGACTCTCATGAGAAGGCCACAACAGGGCGTCCTGTTCTTAAGTTGCCTCACCGAGATCATTCATCAAAACATGTAAGAATGCAAAAAGTTAAGCCGTGGTCTATGCCAATCAAACTGTATTTTGCTACTTATGTCCTTCTCCTCGTTACAGGACATGAATCGAAGCCATCCCTCTACCAGTGGTTATTCCAGACACTCCATGCCTCCCTCTGCTCCTCGCTCGTCTCACTCATCAAATGGCTACTCTGATGACGAAGGGCCCAGCAGGGCTCCAAAAGCCCCCAAGATGAGCAGGCCACTTCCACCTCCCTCTACCTCTGCTCTCAGCGCCCAGCAGTCCAGTCGCGAAGGGCCTCGCCGACGGCGAACTCGGTGCAAGCGGTGCGAGGCGTGCCAGCGATCTGACTGCGGAGAATGCACTTTTTGCCAGGTCAGTTTCCTTCAAAAGTTGTTGCAACCCTGTTCTGGCAACATTCTGGCCTTCTGAGAAACCCTCTTGTGTTAAACTGAAACTAAATATATTGGTTTTCTTCACAGGATATGGTTAAATTCGGCGGTTTCGGTCGAGCAAAACAGACCTGTGTGATGCGCCAGTGCTTGCAGCCGATGCTGCCTGTGACAGCCTCGTGTGCTGAGTGCTGCCTGGATGGCTGGGGTCAACGACCGGTAATTCCCGTCCAGAAAAATCATAGAGACTCTCCTTCATCTCTGATGGAGTGCAGTGTTTGCTATGAGATCGCTCATCCAGATTGTGTCAGGAAGAAGGTGGGTCAAAAATTTTCAAAAATGGTTTGGAGTTTGCTTTTTTTGTAAACCAATTGACTGTAACTTAATTTGCAGTACACTGAATATGATGGAGTTGTGAATGAGGATCTACCAAACAGTTGGGAATGCCCTCGCTGCTGCCAAGAAGGAAAAAATGTTGAATATAAGGTATTGTAATGGCTCTCTAGCTTATTTTTCTCTTCATACCTGTTTCCAATCTGATTAGTTTTATCCTGTATGTTTTTAGCCCCGCCATTTCCGAGCAAGGCAAAAGTCCACTGATTTCCGCAGAATGTCTTATGGAAGCGAGGCTTTATATGATCTTAAAAAAGAAAAGCGCGAAGTGAGTTTTGATGGAGTCTAATTTTAAAAGTAGCTTAACTTGGAAGTATTGCTTATTTAAAATGTTGGGTTTTGTCTGAGCAGATGGACAGTGACGATTCTGATGATGAATTCAGCCGACCACCCACCCCTCATCATTCTGGCTCCAAGAGAGTGAAGACTGAGTCAAAATCTGAGCCCAAACGGGAACCAGTTGACGCAGGAGACAGTGACAGTCAAAGTAGTGATGTAAGAAAATAATTTCTCTAACTTATTGAATAACCTCCATAAATTAAAATGTTTACTGATTAAAGACTTTCCTTACAGAATGTGGATATAAAGCCAAAGCTTTCTCCTCACTCATCAGTGGATTCACCAGGCACTCCTCCATCTCCTGGAAGTAGCATCAATATGGATCCTCGCAAAAGGGCTGTTCTTCTCCACCAAGCCAAAGCCATGAAGAAATCTGGATTTGTTGTGAGACCAAACCCTGGGGTTAAGCCGAATCCTCCTAAAGATTCACCATCACCAAAAACTGTTGTTAACCTGGCTATGGAGAAAAGTGTCATTTTACCAATTATGGAGTATCTTACACCCAAAGAAAAGGTATGTCATTGAAGACCTGTCTCTTAATGTGACTTATATAGTTAACATTGTAAGCATTTTTTATTTGCTAATTAATTTTGTAGGTGGAATGTGGACTTGTCTGCAAAGCTTGGGCTCAGTTCAGCCTTGACCCTTCTCTGTGGAAACGCATGAGTATGGCAGCTCAAACTCTGACTGCTGGTCATCTGTCTGCCATTGTGCGCCGACAGCCTGAAACATTGGTCCTTGATTGGACGGGTATTGGAAAGCGACAATTAGCATGGCTCATCATAAGGCTCCCTCAGCTGCGAGAGCTTTCACTGCAAGGTGTAAATGTTATTGGGGTGTCTGCACTACGCACCTGCATGTGTCCACCTTTATCCTTCCTTGACATATCCTTTGCGGGTGGACTAAATGATGCCACCTTGCGGGAGATTTTGTCTCCTCCACCTGATTCTCGACCTGGTCTTGTAGACACCAAGTCAAGACTTCGCAATTTGCGCACATTGAAGGTTTGTATGGTGCTTTTTTTTCTCATTTGGTTTCTGTAATAAGCATTTTCTATAACCATAATTTTTCTTTTGGTTTATAGTTGGCTGGTTCCAGTATAACTGATGTTGCCCTACGCTACATCACTCAGCATTTACCTAGACTGTCAGTCCTGGACCTTTCATCTTGCACACGTTTGACAGATGCTGGCATTGCCCAGCTTACTACGCCCCCTGCCTCATCTATTGAGCTTCTTCAATCTCTGGATCTTTGCAACTGTCCGAGAATTACAGATGCAAGTCTTGACCATTTAACCAGATGTGCACAACTAGGCCGCCTAGATCTTCGACATTCCCCTCTAGTCACAGCTGCTGCTGTCGCCAAATTTGTTAGCAGATCAAAGCTAAACCTTAGAATACTTGATGGTAAACTAGTGCTGCATGCTTCATAAGGTGCCCTGTTGTCTCTACATGTACAGTTAGACAATGCTAGTATTAAATACTTCTGTTTGAAAGAACTCTGAACTGTGAACAACTTGCCAGTTGTTTGTATCTGCACTGTCTGTTATCATTGCTTTGTTATTATCTTGTACAAAGGTAATTTTTTGGTCTGTCTTGTACTGAAAAGAGACCTTCTTGATCAGTTTGATTTGTAATCAATTTAATTAGATCTGCCAATGAAACTATTGACTATGAAATTGTATTCTCTTTGGAGTTTCACAACTTTTTAAAATTGTGCAGTATAACAATATGTGCAGTTCACATTTCCTCCAGTGTCCATGTCTGTGGACTAGAATGGCAGGAGGCTGATTCTGATTTCCTTCTCTAACGAAGTTGTTGACTAAATTTCTTCAACTCCTTGTAGTTTAATGATGTCTTAAGCCATGTGAGATAACTGCTAAGTGCTTGGAGGGATAGTGAATTGAAATTGTTACACCTAATTGAAGTGTTATCTTTGTGTGTTACAACTTTTGTTAACATGGCTCAACGTTTATCCCAAGTATTCTTTATGCAATCACTCAAGAATCTTTTGGTTGTGGTACAAGTTGGTTTTCTTAATGTGTGTTTGACACATTGCCTGCAGAAAATTTCTGGTAATTGGCTGAAAAATTAGGTCTTGCTTTGATCTATTTGCTATTGAACATGGAGAATGTTGAATTAGCAATGATCTCAACTATGTGGGTTGTTGTTCTATGGAGAAGGCTGATTTGTAACTGTGTGTATGGGTGTGTATCTGTATTGGGTTGTAAACAAGTGATCTTAAAAGGTTTTTTTTTTCTTTTTTTTTTCTTTACTCCAGATAGTGGCTTGAAGTACCCTAGGATTAATTCTCTCAAAATGAAGTTATTAATTATCAGGCATGTCAACTAGGAATGATCACTGGAGTAGTGATTAATCAATTATGTAGTAGACAGTGGGGATAAAGTCTGAAAGATTCATTTGTGTTTAGTCCCCAACATAATTTTCAGGATCTGTTTCTTCCTTTTCCTCACAACTTTGTCATTTTCTTATTACTCAAAAGCATTAATTTTTAAAGGTTCATTTCGACATGAGGCTCAGATGAGATTCTTAATTACTCTTGCTCAATTCCTGATGTTGCTAGTGTAGAGGAGTGTACATAGATGATTGTCTTTTAAGCTCTTAGAGAAATTCAATGACTCAGAGTAGTTTTGTCTAAAACGAATACTTGAAATAATTAATTTTTCATAAGTCTCATTGCATCTTTATGGTTTATCCCAGTTACAGTGAGGCACCTCTTTATTTTCCCTCTAGTGAAGCTTATTGCGTCCCTGTAGTTACACTGTATTCTTACCTGATTCTTTTACTTTCTTGCTACTGAAGATGTTTTGAGACTATGAAAGTGAGAATCCTCCTTCCCCCCTTTTTCCCCCTCCCCTTTGTCATATGAGTACCTGAATCCCTCTTGTTAGTTACTCCAAACCTGACATTTCAGGTTTACTACTGTCCCTTCAGTTTTGCCCTTCTCTTTTGCTCCTATAGATGTAGTTTAATCTTCTCAGATTGAGTGTATGCCTCAGTGTGTTGTGTTTAAGGTGAAGCTTGGACTGTACAGTATATCTAAAATCGCAAGTGGGCGCACAGTTCTGCAATATTTTCTAGTTACATTGCTTAAACGCGTTATGTTCCTAAATTTCTTTAGTTCAAGCAGTATCTAGTGCTATTAATTTGGTACCTTAGTCATCGTTTAACGCTAATGGTTTTATTTGCTCCTAAATGAGTACGTGCTTTAGGATAAATTGAATGTTATGTTTTGCCTTGATTTTAACTTGTGGTTTTGGCCCCATATTAGTTTAAAAATACTTTTCAAGCAATATTGTTTTTCCGTGTAGCAATTGATCAATTCTGCAGCTTAAAGAAAGCATTCCTTTTATATAGATTGACCATTTCCACTTTGTGCAATATAGTGAACAAGTTTTCTGACCACTTCTGTTGATTCAATAGTGAATTATTGACTAGTCTAAATTTTGTTGAATGGTGGACTTGCCAACATGCATGTATAAGCAGTGGCAAGTTTCATCCATCACAATCGATATGCTTGTCGTAGAAATGCACTTTACTGAAGCAATTACAGTTGTATAAATTCATTTATATATGTAAATATATAAATATATATATTTCTTAAAATATACAAATATTCTCCATGTATATTGATCATAGGATTAATCTTTCCCAAATTTTAATGAAAGTGTTACTTTTTTCAGTATTAATTTATTTGAAATAAAATTTTCTTAATGAGACCAGTTTGATTTCTTCACAATTCCTACCTGTTATTTTGTTGCTAAGGAAGTAAAATGAAGTTCAAAGGTTTTCTTAGATGTCAACCAAGAAAAAATGTTCTCTTTATTTACATTGTCCTCTGACAACACACTACAATCTTAAGTGGATTACACCCAAAGACGATGGGTGAGACTTTATGACAACACACAATTCTAACAAATAGTACAGCAAAATCATACCTTACTTAAGGACGTAAATTATTGGTACTCAATTTGAAGCGCATCTAAGGAAAGCCAACAACAACACAGTAAAAAAATAAGCGCATAAATGATACCAGTAAACAGTGAAACAGGTTTGAAATGCCCAGTTAACAAATTCAAGTCTGTACCGACCTTTTTGTTAAGACTTAACATTACAAAACCATATATTGAACTTAAAATACGGAATGATAAAAGCAATCCAAGTAAAAAATAAAAAGACATGGTTTGATGTCATCTCTTCAAACTATCACTGGGAATAAATTAGAAAATAACTTCTTCAGTTTGTAATAATACATAAGGGTAACTTTACAATACACAAGACTAAAGTAATTAGATTACAGGTGGTCAAAGAACTGGAATGGCACTTGAACAATGGTCCTGACTAACTCGTTAACTCATCACAGCAACAAAGTACAACATAAAAATAAACTTATCAAAATAAATAAACAGCATAAGGAAAACAAATGACTTGAGACAATAAATACATTAACGTAACACATCACATGAACAATGTTAGTGTGTTTGGCAACTTAAATATATATTAAGAGAAATAAATTGTTTCCTCTTAGGTTCTACAGAAGTCATGGGTAATTAATCTTTGTCATGTGGCTATTACCAACTGCCTCCGATATGATTCAAATTTGATTTGTCATAAGGGTTCAAACAACACGATATAGATATCAACTTAAAATCTTCATCTAATTATTTTGCTTTGTACTGGGGTTATTAATTTCATAATAATAAATATATGAATGATAGAGATAAAATGAACCCTACACAAGGTAAAGTAATCCATTCCACATTTTCTTCCTCAAGATTTGCGTCAAGAAAGTGTTTTAACACTAAGAACAAAAATTATCACATCGAAACTTTAAGTAAAACAGTCCTACTGAAAGATATGAGAGAGTTTCAGAACAAGAGATAATTCCATAACCTTGTTGGCCACTGTGTGATAGCAGCCCTACATTTGAGGATACACACTCAAGAATAGAATGATCAGAGTATTCTTAATCAAGAAGGGCTTTTACAGCAAAGAGATTAAAGAAGGCCAGTTGATACACAAACAAATCGACAGCTGGAATATTAAAGACAGTTCCAGTCAGCCCAGTAAAAAAGAAGTTGTGCAAAAATGACAAAGATGCTGCAACACCATAGAAGTTTAAATTCACGTAGCATAATGCCACAATAGTGAAAAGATTAATTGAGACAACAAACTTCACTCGGAAGGATTCTGCCCAGCGTGCTTCTCCATTATTTTTACCATTCAGATATATACGAGATACGTAATGTAGGCCAACAGTAGCAAAGCCCAGAAAAATGAAAGACAATCCAAATCCAGTTGGAAGGCTGTACATTATAGAAATCTGGGCGGAAAAAAAGGGCAGCGCGATGACCACACACCAGAAAGTTGTATTCTCATAGGCAGACCGCAAAGCATCGCCATATTGTGGATTACCTGAAACACAAACAAATATTTACAAAATGCACTTTGGGCAAAATAAGACAGCAAATTATATCAAAATACAAACAAAATAAGGCCTTTAAATTATTCATGCGAACAGAGATATAACAGTCACAAAGACGACACATATTTTGGCTAGGACATGAAAGTTGGAAAAGACCTACCAAAGCGGATGATTCCAATGATGGCATGAAAGAGGAAGAAGGAGAAGGTGACGGTAGAGGCCCAGGTCGCAGGGGAAGCCTGCAGGCCGAAGCCCCCCGTCTGGCGGAGCGCATAGGCCGAGGTGGCGGCCAAGAGCAGGTTCGCGAACGCCGTGGCGAAGCGCGTTGGGCTGAGCGGGCCCTCCTTCTCCTTGCTGGGCGAGGCGCGGTTCTGGCGCCTCGGCCTGCTGTACATCGTATCCGTGTACCACGCCACGGTGAAGCTTGCTTGTAGCAGACAACGGGCCGACGAAACGACGCACGAGGAAAGGCCTTTCTGCCTTTCTGCTTGTTTTGATTTGAATGAACACGCACAGGTCCTGCCCCCTGGCGGTAGGTCGACGAAGCAGGGCAAAACGCAGGACGCTCCAACAAGTGACTGTCACCGTGCTAGCTGCGCCCGCCACCGCCCCACCGCTCCACCCCCTTCTCTCCTTGCGCCCTGCCACCCCTGCCACCGGACTGGGCTGCCGCGCTGCCGCCCCCTGCGGACTGCGCGCGCTGCGCACGCGGAGGTGGGGAAGTTGACGCAGCGGCCCGCGAGCGGTGCAGCGGGTCATTCCGCGCAGGGCGTGCATACTGTCGCTGTCCCTCTCGCACCCACACGAATCACCCCTATGAGTGCGAGAGAGAAGAGGGCGACAGCGATCGATTGCCAATCCCGCCAAAAGTAGTACGATGGATGGGATGTGGGTCATAAAGCAAGGAGGCAGAATCAGGCAATGAGGCAGGCAATGAGGCGGGCGAAAATGCATAAGGGGTAATAATGCCTGTTGGCTTTGGCTGCAGGTCGCAGGGCTGGCCGTAAGCAGCGCAAGAGAGTCGCCATATGGACCTATGATTGACCTATGGGGTGTCCGCGGAGGAGCCCCGTTCCAGCTCCAGCTCGGCGAGCCCCTCACCAAGCCCCTCTCCGAACCCCTCGGCGAGCCCCTCACCAAGCCCCTCTCCCAGTGCCTCGGCGAGCCCCTCACCAAGCCCCTCACCCCCTCATCCCCTCCTCCAGCCCCCTCCGTGAGCGTGGTTGTGCGGGCAGCCAAGGCAGCAGGTCCCAGGGCGCCGTATTGGCTTTGCACTTGCACTTCCTGCATGCCGCCGCCCGCCCCACCCGGCCTCGCGCCTCGCCCCGCGCCTCGCCCCGCGCCGTCTAGGCGCATTCGCTGTTGCGCCTCGCAGAGACGATCGTTGTGGGCGGCAGCAGCTTGGCTTGCTGCTCGCTCGCGGCATAGCCAGACATAGCCGCGTGCAGCGGGCTGTTCCCGAGCAGTGCTTTTCGTCTCTCTCCTTTCGGTACCCTTCGGTACACACGGGGCGCCTCGCATGGGAGTGCGGGGGAGACAGAGCGACGTTCGGACGTAAAGAGACTGCAGCTCCGCTGCAACGGCCCGCGGCGCTCTGGAGTTACGACCCGAAGCGCGACCCCACACTGATATTCCGGGAGGCGCTCTCGTCGCTCTGTCTCCCTCGCACCCATACGGGACGCCCCCTGAGTGCGAGGGAGACAGAGCGACGAAAGCGGCTCGCTGAAGGGCCGCCCGGAGGGCCGACGGGGTGACGCCACAAGTCCTGCCGCTCGTGCAAGAGGGAAGTGCAGCGGCCCGGCGGCCCACTGGCGCGGCAACGCGGCGTTCCCGGGCCCCGCCAGGCCCTGCAGAACCCTGCGGCCCCCGGAGTGGAATGCCTTTGCCTCCGAACGGGTTATTATGCACTCGGTGCAGCGCCCCGCGTCCTCACGGCGTCGCGGTGCCGTGCGAAACAAGGACGGTCAAGAGGTGGGTCCAGAAGGGGGGGAGGCGCACTTTGAACCGCCCACCCCCCTGAACCCATCCCTGGATCCGTCCTTGTTATCATCGTTGCTGCTGTTGTTGTTGTTGTTGTTGCTGCCGCCGGGCACCTTCCGCTGTTGCTCCGCCTCCAGCGTCCTCGCCGCGCCGCTCAAGCGTCAACTTTCCGCAGGGTGCGTTCGCCGCAAGGTTACGGAGAAGAAGAAGAAGGAGGAGGAGGAGCAGCGAGGAGCGGCCGGAAGAGGACGGGGCGGAAGTACCGGGGAGGGGGAGGCTTCGAACAGGGGGGAGGACAAGAGTGCGTGACGCTACGAGGGCGACGAGGAGGACTTGAGGACCACCGAGCGCTTCGGGAGGACAGAGGACATGAGGGCAGCTATACCAAACCCATACAATGAACGAATACCGGCCCGCCACCCCCGCCCCTTGTCCACACCTCCCCCACCCCTAGCGCCAAGCAGGTGCCACTGTGAGTCTCTGGCGGTCTCTGACCTCGCGCGTCGTACTCAGCACTCGGGACTCCCGGCTCCGGAACCAAATTATGGACACACAAGGGGTCGGACTGGACTTCGGGGTACTCGGCGCGCCGCGGTGCCGCGGTGTGGGCTGCGCGGCGGTGCGTGGCGGCCTGGCCCGGCGCGGCGCGGCCGGCCCGGCGGCGTGGTGCGCCGGAGCTAGACCGCCGCGCTCCGCGCTCGGCCCGGCGCGCCCGCCCCCGCCGCGTACCCGGCCGGCCGCCGCGCCTCGCAGGACCCGCTTGCTTCGCTTGGACTGCACTGGAGGATGTTGTTCAGTCGCTCCCCGGTGCTCCTCGCGTTCGCACGCCGCCGCGCCGCCGACTCGCGCGACAACGCGGCCAGGCCGGCGGGCTCCGCGACACGCCGGCAGTGACGCCGGACCGCAGTGCAGTGTTTGAGTGTTTATCCAGCGCGCCGGCCGCGAGTGCCGTGCCGTGTGAGTGTGTGAGTGCGAGTGCCGCAGCGTCCGGCGTCGTGCCGCACTCGGCCTGGAATACACGCCGGCCGCCCACGCCCGCCACGTGAGGTAAGCGACGGCGCACCAGGTCGGCGACGTGCACGACCGCAGTCTCGGCCTTCTCGGTGTCCGCGAACCCGGGCCGGACGTGCTGGAGAAACCGTCGTCGCACATGTCTGTAGACCGATTCCGAGAGTCGTTTTCTTCGCTGTCTCTCTCGCACCTACACGGCGGACGCCCCATGAGTGCAAGACAGACAGAGTGACGAAGAGTCTCTGAATCTGTCTGCTGGGGAAGAGGATGTCACTAACGAGGCGCGGTGGCGTGCGGCGTCTAGCAGCACATTGTACGAGAACTTCCACTTTCGCCTCACCAAGTTTGGATTTATTGAATGAAAGCATTGTTCGGCGCGTTCGGCTCTGCAGCGCCCGGGCATTTTTTTTTCGCGCTTCAGAGCGGAATTATTTAAAGGACGCCTGCTTGTTAGGCTAGTTTTCCGTGGCCATTGGAATATTGCTTCCTTTCCTCCTGGCTTGCCCGGCTGCTGGCGGACGCGAGCGGAAGCGCCGCTCTTCTTTCTTTCCCAGTGCTGGAGGCCGGGCGAGGCGTGGCGTGGCGTGGCGCGGTGACTTTGAGTAATCATAATAAATGCGGTGCGCTGCCAGGTCAGGCCAGGCGTCTCGCCAGGCGTGGCGCTGCGGAGGTGTTCCCAGAGCACTCCGATTATACTTCGTTAAATATCAGGAAAAGTGGAGGGAGATACAAATCGGCGACTTAAGTCCATCGCGTTCATTTTGAATTAGTGAAATTTCGTTCTCATTTATGATTGCAGGGCTGTGCGACTAGACGTCGCGACACTGTGCGACTTTCTGACTTTCGCAGCCTTATCCGCGCTCTTTCCACGTTCGCGTTCCTCGGCGGTTCGTTTGCGGGTGTCTCGGAGCCTCGTCTCGTTGATTGGGTCGTCGCTTATAGGCCCTAACGAGTCCATCAGGGCGTCGCTCTGCTCTGGCAAGGCGTCGCCTCCAGCGCCGCGGCGCCGCGGCACAAGCGCCGGCTAAATAGCGTCGATCCACGGCGGGGCCACGGCGGGGCGCTCCGTGCGTGGTGGGGCCACGGAGCCTCAGGCCTGCCAGGCCTGCCAGGCCTGCGGTGCAAACGATGCGGTCGCCGCCACAGCTCACTTCATCTTGTTGACGAGCCGAGGCGCCGCCAGCCGCCACGCTCACAACGCCAGCGCCTCGGGGGTACACTGCCACAATAGGGACGGCCTCAGAGCCGCGGAGTCCCAGTGGATGAGGTTTCAGTTCCGAGTCCGGAGGGGCGAGCGCGATAGAGCCCAGGCCGGAGACACGACTGGCCTGCGAGTCCAGCCCGCCGGCCTGCTTGATGTTCCAGTGGGCTGGCCGCCGCCTCGTGTCCAGGCCTACCATTCGCTACCGTCACATGCCAGCGAACAAGGACTGCTACATCCTCTACTCCTCCACTTTGCCGGGGCACGGCGTGCGGCACGGCGTGCGCGGCGGGAAACAGGTTGCCTGCAGCGTTTTCCTGCTCAACCGTGTGCGGCCCGTCGCGGTGCCGCCGTGCCCTCCGCCAGAGGGCCTCTGCCGCCGGGCATCTCGCCGTCGGCAAGCCGCCTGCTTTGGCGCAGTCCAGGACGCGGCCCTGTCGGCGGGCAGCCCAACTTGAATTTTCCCCGGCCCGGACACAATAACTTACTTCCCCAAACAACCTCCCTCTGAGAGTGCGAGCAGCGACGCGCGAAACCGCGCGTCTGCGTGCAGACTGCAAACTCTTCTCCGGCCAGACGGCGCGTCCAGTGCGCCGGCTGCCGGGCCGCGTTTTCAGGTCACATTTTTACCTCGGCACGACGACGACAACACACACACACACACACGCGCGCGCGCGCACACACACTCTCACACTCACGAGGCGCGTGCTCGTCGCCGTCCTCCTCCCCGGCGGCGCGTAGCGGAACTAAAACATTGTGACGATTATCACAGCCGCGCGGCGAGCACGCTCGTATACAGGTACCGACACCGGGTACTGGGTACGGGGCACAGGTACGGCGGGGCAGGGAAAAGAAGGCCATAAGTCGGCTGGATCGCGGCACGGCGCGGCACGGCGCGGCACGGCGCGGCACGCCGCTACCCGGGAGTATCTCCCCTCGGATCGCTTGCTTCGCTTGTTCCTCCCGCTGCCGGCGAGGTGCGCCAACGCGCCACACCCCCGGCCGGCCAAGCCCGGCAGGCCGCTGATTCCGAACTGTGCTTTCGTCGCTCTGCGTCTCTCTCGCTCCCGTGGGGGGTCCCGAAGCGGCGCGAGAGAGACGGAGCGACTCGGAATCAGCGGCCAGAGCCAAGGCAGAGCGCCGCCCAGCGCCGCCACGCCACGACGGCGCTCACCAACACGACCAGCACACTGATGCACCTCGTGCACCCCCAACTCGGCGTGTAAAGCGCTCCGTCCGCATCCGCTCGTGTGTCGGTCCGTCCGTCCGACATGACCGCTCGTCTGTCTGTCTGTCTGTCCGTCCGCCCTGTCTGTCTGTCTGCCGTCCGCCCCTGCACTCCACCCTGGCCCAACTCACTCAACACTCACGCACTTACTCACTCACTCA